AAAGTTTTCAATACTTTTTCATGAAGCTTGGAATTAAAGGTATCCTCTTTTTTTATTGTTGACTCAAAATAATTAAGTTTCGAATATCAAAAACTAAAGAAATTTTGTCTTTATTATTCTATTCTTGCTACAGTGGTGTAAAAAACGTTTGCATTTCTAGTTGTCATGACCTTGCCAAGATTTTCATTCATATATTTTTTTGCCGACATTATTACAAAAATGGCACTTTTTGTTTTGTTGATACTTGAACTTTGGTGTTGGAGTGTGTTTTCCCAACCAAAGTTTTTTTATGCTTAAAAGAAATGACAACAAATTTAGTAATTACAACTGGACTGTTTTGTGCTTCTACAGAAATTGTAAGTAAGCTTTATAAAAGCTAAATACTGATATTTTGTTTTTAATAAAAATGGAATTGATGCGTATTTATTGATAGGACTGAACTCTTTAAGAAAAAGTATGCTAAAACATTTTTGATATGTTACGAGAGAAAAAAATTTTTACTCGTAAATTAAAAAAGAATAGTTTATTGATGAATTTAACTTTCTCCCATGAATCTTCTATATTTGATTTGTAGATTTTAAGGTTGAAGTAATTTTTAAATGCATTTTCGAAATTGTTGATATTTATATTTAAATAAAATGAAAATATTTAATGAAAATTTAAATATTTTTATTGTAAGAAGCCATCACTGCATGTATTGCTAATTTCTTTCGCATTAAGACATATATTTTTTTACTTTAGTGTTTATTCAGGTTACCATACCATTTTAATCCCACCATCTGAAGTTGAAATTAATCCTGCCCTTTGGTTGTCAACAATTAGGCAATGCAAAGGTTATAATTCATTCTAAATAATAATAAAAATAAGTAAAATTTTGTTATTTTTTTAATAATTTCTAATTTGTTTTTTTATTTTAGAGTTCGTGATGCATTCTGTTCCTATGGCATTATGGAACTTTGCACAAAAGGCTTAGGATCATCTATTAGCCAATTGAAGGTAATGTAATAGCCTATTTTCACTTACAAAATTTCTCGGCCATTTGTGTGTCTGCTTACCCATTTAGAGGGTTTACAAACACATTCCGATCATAATGTATTCTGTATACTTTGATTCTATTTTTAAGGGAATTTTTTTGTTACAGTGACCATTAGGAGAGAAACTAAGCTTGTTGTAAAAAATTCATTTAGTATCATTTTGCCTAGTACACTTTTTTAATTTTCCTTACAGACAAATTTTTAACTCCATGCACCCTGCCTATGCTCAGAACTATTGCCTTGTACCAAAGAATATTTTAAAACATTTATTGTTCTTTACAGGCTGGTATAGTTTATAATGCTTATGTTTTAGATTTAAAATTTATATCATAGCAGTGTTTATCTATTTCTAACGAGATTCTATACTAGAAACTTAATTACCTCCTTTCGGCAAACTGTAATTACAGATTGATCCAGATAAAACTAAATTTTAAAATTCCACAGTTATTTGTTTTATTCTCTTTCTTTGAAAATACATGATAATTGTTTTTTTAAAGGTTATCTAAATACATTTTGCTCTGTTAAGCAAAACTCTTTTTAGTATAATATGTTTCAAAACTTAATAAGAACAAACAAAATTTATTTCAGTGATGAAATATTTAATTTTGTACTATATATGTCTTTATCTAAACAATATGCTCTAAAGCACAAATAGTGCTTCATAAAAAGACATACCATATTTCTCGTTTTATAATTATGAAATTTCCTTAGCGTGTACACTCAAACTGAAAGAGAGAAACACAGAGATGCAAGAGAAAATTATTAACAGGTCACAAAAAAGGGAAAAAAGTGGCTGGGCTACAAGCTTTAACTGATTAATCAAATAAAAGAATAATAAAAAGTGTGCCGTTGGTGGGGTGAAAGCTATCTATGGAATTCTAGAAGGAAAATTTTGATAAATTCTAATTTTTAATTTCATGACTCTCTTTATAATATTCTATTCTTTCCAAACAATAGAAAATCAATTTTCTTGTGATTTCTACATTTTGATATTTCAAGGCCTGTTCCACTACTGCACCTGTTTCTTATGTCCTTTCTTTTGCTTGATTAACTTCAAGTTTGAATATTTTCAGTTTATATGCTTTTACAATTAAAAAAAACATATTAGTCTATTAAGAAATGGGTACTAGTTCAAGACTGCCTTAATCCTATAAATTATGCTATGATTTCTTAAAATTTTCAGACATTTACATTCACTTTTGGATTCCTTTAATTTATTAAAACTTTTCCACACATTTTTTTATCCTTTCATAGTGTTTAATAATTTAAAAATATTTGTTTTCTAAGCATTTAACAAATTTTATTGTTAGAGAAAAAGTGTTATAAATTTCTGTTTTTTTATATTTTAGTGACTTTCTGTTGACTGTCTCATATTTGGTTGACTTTTGAACTCTGCTATGAATTTTTCTATAACTTTAAAATGTTGAGCCTGTTTGTTTATCAGTTTAATTATTTGACAAAAGAGTTTTTCTATTGCATTTATTAATTTACTTGGTTTTGATTATATTTTAAAATTTATCCATTTGAGAAGCTGTAAAAATCTTAATTAAATCCTTAATTTCATATATTTATTATCCTGCAAAAAATCTTATGAATATAGAACGCTATGGAGAAATGTCTCTACTGATTAGCATTCCTACTTTTTGGGTAGTAGGCTAGAAGGATGAACTTAACTTATACAATTAAATTGATTTTATTGTAAATATGTAATAAGTAATTAAGCAACACTTTTTTTAGTATAATATGCTTTACAACTTACTAAGACCAAACAAAATTTGTTTCGGTGATAAAATGTTTAATTTTGTACTATATATGTCCATATCGAAACAATGTGCTCTAAAGTACAAATAATGCTTTATAAAAAGACATACCATATTTCTCTTTTTATAATTAAGAAACTTCCTTTGCTTGTACACTCAAAATGAAAGAGAAACGCAGAGATGCAAGAGAAAATTATAAACAAGTTACAAAAAAGGAAAAAAAAGGCAGTTGGGGTACAAGCTTGAACCGATTAATCAAATAAAGAAAATGATTAAAGTGTGCCGTTGGTAGGGTGAAAGCTATCTGTGTTGAAAGATGTTATTTTTAAAAAAAGTGCATTACGAAATATTTGGAAAGAATGGAATTCTTGAAGGAAAATTTTGATAAATTCTGATTTTTAATTTTATGACTTTCTTTATAATCTATTCTTTCCAAACATTCGAAAATCAATTTTCTTTTGATTTCTACATTCTGATATTTCAAGGGCTGTTCCACTACTACACCTGTTTCTTATGTCCTTTCTTTTGCTTGATTATACCCTCTTCAAATTTTAATATTTTTAGTTTATATGTTTTTACAATTCAAAAACATATTAGTCTATTAAGAAATAGAAACTAGTTCAAGACTTTTTTATTCCTATAAATTATGCTACGATTTCTTATTCTTTTCAGACATTCTCATTCACTTTTAAATTCTTTTCATTTATTAAAACTTTTCCTCTCATTTTTTTTATCCTTTGATAATGTTTAATAATTTAAAAATATTTGTTTTCTAAACATTTAACAAATTCTATTATATGATAAAAAGTGATAGAAATTTTTGTGTTTTTGTATTTCAGTGACTTTTTGTTGACTGTCTCATATTTGGGTTGACTTTTGAACTCTGCTATAAATTTTTCGATAATTTTAAAATGTTGATCCTGCTTGTTTGTCAGTTTAATTACTTGCCAAACGAGTTTTTTCTATTGCGTTTATTAATTTAATTGGTTTTGATTATATTTTAAAACTTATCTATTTGAGAAACTGTAAAAATCTTAATTAAATCCTTAATTTCATGTATTTATTATCCTGTAAAAAATTTCGTGAAGATAGAACGCTATAGAGAAATGTCTCTACTGATTATCATTCCTATTTTTTGTGTAATTCTCTAGAAAGCGAAACTTAAATTATACAATTTAAGTAATTTTATTTTAAATATGTAATAAGTGACTATTTGTAAGTATGTGAGTCTATGACTATTTTTGGTAGGAGTAAAGAAATTTTTTTAACGTAATTTAATTATTTTTCACAGAATGGGATAATATTATTATTTTTTGTGTTTGCAAATGAAACACTGGAATTTAAATATTTATTTTAGTTCTAATATATTTTATACATTTATACATCATAAGGCAAATAAAATTTGTATCATTTTGTATGTTATTCATTGTAATTATTATTACAGTTAGTCTTCTTCATTGCAGAGAGGGATAAACTTGAGCTGCGTTCAATCCTGTGTTGTTGTAGCTGAGAAGAGGCCTAGAGTTGGATTAACAACCTCATTCTCTAAATTATTTTCTGGTTGGTTTGAGTATTCATTATTAACATTATTCAATTATAAGAATAAGCTATTTGCAATTGAGAATTCAATATGGGCTTTTAATTTTATCTATGTTCAGTATGTGATTTAGTAGTATTAATAAAATTCAATTATGTTATTTTGATAGTTCTTCAAATATAAAATTACAATTTAGTATATTCTTTAAAATAAAATAGTAATGATAAACTAGCTACCCTTAATTTCATTAGAAATTTATAAAAACTTTCGTTTTTACCTATGTATAAAATGTTAGATTATTAAAACCACAAAAATTGATATTATTATTTAAACTAGATTGTAGTTAGAAACTCTTTAGTAAAATAACTCTTTAAATACTCAATATTTCTGCTTAGAAAAGAGTTTCTTCCACTTGGGATGGAAGAAATCTATTTCTTTGAGGGTGGTTTTTTTCATCACTGGGAGAAATTTGCCATACCTGATGTAAAATAAAGTGAACAAATTTAAGATTAAGTTAGTTTATATTTATTCTGTTTTTCTTCACTCGTCTTTATCATTCTGTGATGTTTTAATATTAAATTTAAAAATATTTTAAAACGTGAAATATGAAATTTATGAATATAAATATAAACTGTCAGTGAAAATTATATTGAAAATTGTATGTTAAAGTAAAAATATTTTTTCAACTCCATAACATTGGTATGCATTACAAATGAGAAAAATTCACTTCCCATATTTAATATTTTATTATTAAATCAATATATTTACAAAAGTGTTAATAGAGTGTCTTATTTTCAACTAGAAGCTTGATAAATTTATTAAACTACTATTATTTAAATGGTTAGCATTTTATAAAGAAAGAATTTGGGACAATATGGTATTAAGTTATTTGGGACAATATAGTATTACGTTAAGTCCAAATATAATATTTTTGCTCTTCCTGTTAACTGTTTCAAAAGAAACTTCTCGCAGTTCCATTAAATGACAATAAATGTCAAATATGTCTTTTTACCTACATGGAAAACAGCGAACACTACATCGGGAGGAAAACCTTGCATGGGAATTATTTTACCGCTGCACCAACCTGATTCCTCCTTGACCATTTTATTCTATATTGTCATTTCTTACCGTCATTGAAGAGCCGACCCAATATTGGACTTGAGACTACCAATTTTTAACTACGTAGCTTGATATATTTGAACCCAATCCAGAAGACAAGGATTAACAAGTATTGGGAGAAATTTGGCTTTTTTGGAGGACATTTTATTCGATAGAACTATCACGAATTTGAGTTAACCGGAAAGGAAAACCACGAAAACCGTCCACTTTTAATCTGATGGCAAGGGGACTCTAACCCTTGATCCGTCCGGGTGCAGAATTAGAATCGATTAGTCACAGCAGGAATTGGAACCCGGGACACCTCAATGAAAAACAAACTCTCAATACTCTGAGCCATCACGGCATTTAATCTATGTTAATCTATGTTAATTTTAAAACACGATATGAATAGCTGGAGCTGTGAGTAGTAATTAAGTATAAAACTATACTTTGTAAGAGCTTAAAGTTGGTAAGGTGTAAAAGCCAACTTGAGAGCCAGTCACTTAGCAAAGCAAAAAATTTCTACGCCCTCAAAAAAAAAAGTATTTAAGTTCCTTTTCTCTGCAAATTGTTTACTATTTTTGATATAAATTTTTTCATGCTGTGAAGTGTTATTAAATAATTATCCCACATAAACGTTACTAATTAATTTCTTGTATAATTGTTCCTTACTATAAGGTTACAGTTTTTTAACAAAAAGAGCTCAAGAGTTTGATCTTCACAAAAAGATAAATGTGTTCGAATTCAAAAGTATATCTTAATCGGTTTCGAAAAAGAACAAAAAAAACCGTTTTCCAAATTATTTACAAAAATTGAAGTATTTAGGACGTTCTCGTTTTTTATATATTCCTTTTAGGCCATATTCAGAGATGCCAACTTTAGTAGAATTTTATCCACCACTATTTCTAAATAATTCGTAGACTTATATGATTCACCACTTTATAGTACTTATGTCATGTTATAGTTTTAAAAAGCAAGCAAAAATAGTCAAATATTTGCAAAATTTAATTTGTAGTTATTTACCGTTTTTTTTTAATTATTTTGGCGTGCCCAGAGCAGTTGGCATCTCTGCATATTGAGAAAATAAACAAATTTAAGTTTGAACTTTAATGTTAGTATAAATTGCAATTTCTGATTCTTTTCTAAATAACGTGGTTCAAGAAAATACTTAGCTACTCTAAATAATAATTAGGAGATTGCAATATAGTATTTTCGATGATATGCTAAAGTCATAAACTCAGGAAATAAGGTAAAATGTATTAATTTTAAGCTTTTTAATTTTCTTAAATAATTCCTTCCTGGAAATGTTTGGCACCTTCTTTATAAAAAATAACATTTTACAACATAAAATATCTTCTTTATAACATTTTATAAAAAAATGTTTATACAATTTAAAGTTGTTGTTTTAAACCTTAAAAATATTAGACTTAAATTATTTTAATAGGTATTTTGCTTTGTTAGTGTCATCTATCCGTTAAGATTTAACTCTCTCCATTTACGAATGAACTAAAATTACGAATTTTTAATTTGGTTGGATTTTGAAAATTCCAAATAAAATGCGTGTCATCTTCACAAATCTCTATAATGAACCGTCTTTAGAAAAAGTAAAAAAGAAAATATTTCGACTTATATTGAGACGTACAAATGAAGTATGTATTCTTCCTAACTTAGGGCACTCTCTCCTTGTCACCAAAAATAAGCAAATCTTATTTAAGAAAATAACTCACTACATTGTTCTAATTTTAAATTTTCCTGAAATAATCTAATTTTGGGCTTAAATAAACAACGTAACTTTGCAAAAACTGTTAGTATAACTAACTTTATAAGAGCTTGAGAAGAATATCCTTTAGGAATTTTTGCTGATTTTCAGAAATGTTTCAAAATGATGGTGACATTAAGGTAATTTTTGTCAAAATTCTTCCTTCTTCGTACTTAACTTTAGTTTAAAATGTGAAGTTATTTCAATTGTAATTTTCCCCCAATACACAGTGGGGCAACATCCAAGCGGTTTCGTGGCCAAAATTAGTATTTCGATAAAATTTGTTTCAAAATTTGGGGGTTTTTATGTGCAGGTAAATTGAATTCATAGTTGAAATTTTAAAATACACTAAAAATACCAAAAAGAAAACCAACAAAAGGGCTGCTGAAATATAGTGAGCAAAAATAAGAAAAAATATTATAATACGTTTAAATAATTAAATATAGCAATGAAAATGTAATAATCTTCGTAATTTTATATTAAAAATGATAAACAAATTATATTTCCGAAATAATATTACAAAATAACGCGAATTACTTACAAAATAGCGCGAAGGAATGAAAAAAAAACATAATTTTTGTTTTTCGGTACATTTAGTCCACCTTTGCAATATGGGCAAAATGGGGCAGGTTTTACGAAAGCGGAAACATCAAAGAAGACAACAAAAAAAAGCTTAGCTAATTACCTCGTGGAACTTTTTGGGGATAAGTTTCGAAAGTGATTCAAACATTGTAAAATGTCAAATGATAAGATATAAAAGATATAAAGTTTGTCAAGAGTATTAACTAATCCAACAAATTGAAAAATTGTACTATAATTTCAGACTAAATTACTGTAATAAAAATGTGACAGTAAGATGAAGTTCCTATACATATTTCTGAAATATAAATTTAAAAGTTAAATTTAAAAATAATTTCTTTAACAGATTTTTCACTACATTGTACTCTCGTCGGTCCAAAAGTAAATTATAATGTTTGGAATGATTATGAATATTTAATTTGAGCGATATTAAAACTGCCTACACTTATTTTAGTTGAAAATATAATTTTGACTTTTGGCTAAAGATCATGATCTTCTGGCCCACAGTGCAATCATTCTATTTACTTTTTTAAGAAAAAATTCGGAAATGATGTGATTTAAATACCTTATGAAAGCGTTGCTTCTATCCCGCATGCTACTTGTCAGATAAAATAAGTAATCCACAAATCTACATCTCTGTTAAGTCCTTAAGTATAATTTGAAAAGTCAGGATAGTGTTGCATAAATATTTATACAATTTTAATCAATATGTCTTGTTTTTTCAGCTTTCATAAACTATATTGTATACAAATCCAACTGAGAGTGAACGTCTTAGCTTTTTAAAGGTAAGTCAGAAGAATTTAATACTCTTCGTGTTCATATTAACTCCCATTTATAAAGGTTTTCAAGAAAATAGAAACGAATGTGCAATACAAATAAAGATATATATTAATAGCAAAAATAGTTTTGTGTACAAAAAAGACTTTGCATTCAAAACTTCAACATATTGGAAAAGACACTATTATATTCGTCAAAATTAAACAAAGAAAACTACTTTTCGTCCAGAAAATTTCTGAGGCCTTCTAATCATATCAAAGCCATTTTTGTTTAAAAAATAAGCATTTTCATTATGGAAAAAAAACGCGATATAAGTAAATTGAAATAATTACTTTTTCTGCGGAAAGCATTTAAAATCTTGACGTACACTTACGAAAAATAGGTTTAAAAAATTTTATTACTGAATTTAAAAAAAATAACAATGCTAACTGTAACGTCCTGATAGGGAATGATGTTTGCTAATAATGATAATAAAAATATTTTTAGATTTATCTCCTGTATTATTAAATAAATATTTTATTGAAATGTCTTGACAAAGAATGATACATTATCCAATTAAAATAAGAGTTTATAAGTAACGTGGCGAAGAATTAAATTTATTGAACTAAGGGTGAACTTTGCCCATTCTGACATAGTTCTAAAATGCGGCACAAAAATAAAATTGAATATCGTAAAATAAACTATATGTTTCTGTTTTGTTCATAAATAGTTAAATAGAAATTATTCCTGTTATGTTCGATTATGGTTCACCATTGCATGAAGTAGAATGTGCGTAAAATTAAAAAAAAGCATAAAATGAAGCAAAGCTTAAAATATTAAGTAGAAATTATAGCAGAGAATAAAGAGTAGAAAAATGTGAAATATCAGGAAAAGTTAAAGCATAAAATATGAAGTATAAGCTAAAGTGTTATGTAAAGAGTGTAATACGAGGGTTGCTATTTATATTTCTGGCCTAATAATGAAAAAACAAATATGTAGGATCGAAATTGGTTTTATTGTTTTTCAAAATATTCTCCATGATGATCAATACACTTTTGCATGCGTTTGAACCAATTTTCAAAGCACTTTTTCCAGTCCGATTGAGGTAACTCCAAAACATGCGTTTTGAATGCATCAACCGCTTCTTCGGGGGTCGAAAATCGTTGTCCACGTAATTTATTTTTGATGTGTGGGAATAAGAAGAAGTCATTGGGTGCCAAATCAGGGCTGTACGGCGGATGACCCATCAGTTCGATCTTTCGCTCCGTCAGAAATGCCTTTGTTTGAGTCGATGTGTGAGAGCTCGCATTGTCATGATGAAGAATGATTCGCCTGTTCTTCTGCTTTTTTCGAATTTCTCCGATGACTTCTGGCAAACAAATGGTCGTGTACCATTCAGAATTGACCGTCCTGCGTTGCTCTAACGCCACTGTTGCCACATGACCGTTAATGCCGAAGAAACAGGCAATCATTTGTTTCGATGTGCTTCTTCCTCGAACAACTTTTGTTGGTTTTGCCTCGTCTTGGAAGACCCATACAGTTGATTGCTGTTTTGTTTCCGGCTCATATGCATAGATCCATGATTCGTCACCTGTGTAGATGTTATACACAGCCTTTGATGTACCTTGAACGTATTTTTCCAACATTTCCTTGCACCAATCGACACGAGCCTTTTTTTGAGCGTTTGTCAGATTATGCGGGATCCAACGCGAACAAATTTTTTTTACGCTCAAATGTTCATGCAATATTTTATTGATGCTAGTCATACTAATGTCCAAAGACGCCTCTATCTCACGGTATGTCACATGACGATCTTGCTTTATCAGTTCACGCACAGCATCGATCTTTTCTGGCACAACAACGGATTTTGGACGACCTGCACGGGATTCGTCCTGGATCGAACATCGACCACGATTAAATTCGTTATACCAATTTTTTACAGTGCTGTAGGATGGCGCTTTATCGCTGAATAAAGAATTAAGTTCATCGAAGCACTCTTGTCTTGACAATCCACGTCGAAAGTTATGAAAAATAATGGCACGAAAATGTTCACGATTCAATTCCATTTTTTGAAAGAGAAGAACTTTTCAATTTACTGTCAACAACACAAATGAAGCTATAATGGTAAATCGTCTGCTGAATTTATGATTAAAAATATCAAACTTTCGATTAAAATCGTCTGCGGTCGCCTAGCAACACTTACTGTTGCCAAGGCCAGAAATATAAATAGCAACCCTCGTATTAAGTGAAGCAAAAAGTAAATTAAAAAAATAGTCAAGGGTAAGTAAAAATTAAAGAGTTTAAGGAAAGCTTAAAAAATAAAAGTAAAGTGAAAAGCGGAAGGTAAAAATCGGAGAGTATAAAAAGTGAAGTATAGAGAAAAGTAAAGCATAGTTGAAAGTATAGCGTAAAGTAGTGCGTAAAACATTAAGAAACGTGTAACGCAAATAAAGCGTAAATTCAATTGAAGTGTGTAATATACACTAATGTGTAAAATAAAGCGTTAAATATAAAGTAAAATACAGAATAATATAAAGCAAAAATTTTTAAAAAGTGTATCATGTGAGGAATAAATTAAGCTTGAATTATTAAGCAATGCTTAAAGTAGAAAATATCTGAAAAGGCAAAATATAATAAAAGTAAAGAGTAAACTAAAGAAGATATTTAAACATAATATAGTAAAAAGTGCAGCATAGTTCAAAATAAAGTTTAAAGTTGAAGCGTCAAGTAAACTAAGCATAAAGTAAAGTATGAAATAAAATCAAATGTAGAGCATAAATTAAATCATAAAATGTAAAGTAATGAAAACAGCTAGTAAAGTAAAGCTTAAAGTAAAAGGTGGAGAGCTTAATGTAAAAATTGTGTTAACTAAAAAGCAAGTGTAGAATTAAATTTAAAGGAAAATGCTTGTCAAGTTGAAAGTACAGTAAAGCATAGAATATAAAATATAGAGTAAATTAAAGTACAATGTAAGTTTTGACTAAAACTAATATAAGACCAAGAGTAAACTAAAATTAAAATGACGTGTGAAATATAGGGGCCACTTTTTCAAAACGATTGAAATAGTTATCCATATTATTTATGTAAAGCATTTCTCAAAGTATCATATAAACTGCACCAGGATGGGCAAACTTTTTAGGCAAAAATTCAAGAAAAAGTTTGATGTGCCGAGTAAAAACTTCTAAAATAAAAAGACAAATAAAAAAACGATATACAAGTTTTAATTTAAATATTAAATGAGATGAAGGAAATTGCGATTTCATTTTTTAAAGTTCCTTATATCAAGGTTCGAAGTGAGATGTGCTTATTTTAAGGAGCGAGGTGAAATGCTTGTCTGTTAGTCTTCTTCTGAAATGATTTTTTCTTTGGTTCATACTTAAAAATAGTTGTTCAAGTATGTATAATGAGGAAAACATAGCACTGATTTCAGAGCATTAGATATTAAACTTTGAGTACTTGGTAATGATTTGTAAAACTCAAACTTTTGCATATTTAGAAACTGCTGCTTCAGATGATTGTTAGAACTGCAACTCAATTAATTCGAACTGAAAATCTGAACTCACTGTTTCACAGTTTTAGCTGAAAACCATGGTAAAAATATTTAATTCTGTTTGAATGGCGTTGAAATCTGAATTCTAATTCAAAATGGAGTTTTTTCAAGCAATCTTCATTAGTTTTAAGCTTTTATTTATTTACTGAGGGTATTGAATTTAGCCTCGAGAATTAAGACAAGTCGTTCTTATCTAGCTTCCTAGGAAACAAATCAAGCTACAGTTTAAAAGAATGATTATTTGAGATGAGCCCCGATATCATCGATGAATTGACATTTCCCTTGCGTCTTAACATTCATGTTGCTCATATGACAAAAAAGATCAGCGAAAAATGCAAAGTCTGAAAGTCATTCTGTATCTTCAAATATTTTGCACTCTGCTGAAAACTGTTTCTTATGTAAGAACGACACGTCGTCTTTCAACTGCTTTTACAGGACATGTTGTATTGGTCTTTGTGAGGCGACATGGCATTGACATCATCGATACTTTGTGATACACCACTAGTTCTGGTAAGAATGTTATTATGAATCTGCAATTGTAGGGTTTTTAAAAATGCAGGGTAGTTCAAAATGATAACTATTTAATGAAAAGGAATTTATCGATAAAATTTACGCAGAAAATTTTGTGTACAAGTGTCACACATTTGTGTGACTTTCCTTGGTTACGCGGACAACATATGGGTTGTAAGCCATTTCACGCCATACATTCTAAAGTATTTGTGCAGTTGCCTGGGTTCTTCCATTGTTTTGGGCATGAGAAGCACATGCATCATGTCTTACACAAAACCCCATAGATCAATGCATCTCGATTCGTATTTACGCGATTTAAGAACTACTCATCGCGGTTTTTATTCAATCAATTTAAAAATTACCATGGAGTTATAAATAAGAAGGAGTGGGCATTCCTCCCCTTACCTGTTGGCGAGAGTGAAGTAACTGTCAAGTAGTGGCGGCCATGTTGGTATAACCAGAAACTTCGCGGAGCCGCTCAGGTTTCAAGAGGAAGAGTTAGGTTGTTTTCGATCTATGATTGGAAAATTTCGAAAACGAGATTGAAATAGTTTTGTTGTTAATACATAACACCTTTTTTCATTCAATTTTTCAACATTAATTTATTTTCTTCTTCCCAAAGAATAACGTTTTAAGATAGCTCTATTTTACAACTGAATTAAAAAAAGAACTTTACGGCAGTTTTCGGGAACTTAGGTTCCTTTATATTTTATCTAGGCATTAAAAGTAATATATTATTCTTATTTAAGGGGCAGCTTTCCAATTAAAAATTTACTTAAAGAATATCACATTAAAACCACACTATTTTGAATACAAACAAAATAATATGAAACGCACTTTTCCTTAAAAGTTAGAATATTAAAAGGGAAAAATATTGGTTTGTACTAAAAGAATAGCAATAATCAACATTAAGCCATTTGAGTAAACACTTGGGTAATAAAACTAGTCCATAACCTACTGTTCATTACTAA